GCATGTAAGCTTTTTTAAAAAAAATTGTGGAGAATATTGAAAATAAATAAATAAATAATTTCCAGGTGAACTACAAATAGCCACTTGATATATTTTATTTCTTTTTTTTTGTCTTTGGACTTTTAATTGACTTCATTCCCACAGTTCAGTTGAGAAAAAATACAAATAAATAAAATAAATAAACAATGACAGTTCAATCAAACTACTAAAATAATGACAGGGAAGGCAAAGTGTCAAAACCTGTGAAATATGATATCATATTGAAAAGATTTTTAAATCACTATTTAAATATGAATAGAATATTAAAGAAGCAGCCAACCTCTCTTCCCCAGTCATAATACAAATAACAGTCATTTTACAGATATAATGATCATAAATTTTAGATATTAAATTAGAAAACTAATTACGTTGCAGGCAGGTAGCAGGGAGAGAAACTTATTCAGGGTTAGTCGGAGCTATTCCGGCTGCTGGCTTAAGGCCAGAAGCTGAGCTTTAATCTCTAGTGGTGTGAGCTGTTATTGATCGCTGGCGCCTACAGGAGGTGAAAAGGTGTTAAAGGTCATATTTAATGGGTTCTGTACCATAATCGTCAATATGCAATTTCCTGAGCAGTTCTCTGTGACACTATTGGTTACATGAGTTTAAAAAGGAATTTGGGAGGTTCTAAAGAAAGTTGGTCTGTAACGTAGCAACTCTGACAGAAACAAATGCTGGAAGATGTTTTTGTCATATGTGAAAGGCAATGACCCGGCAGCGGAAAAGTAAAGAGGCAAAGGAAATCAAAAGTGGTTACTTTGTCTATGTTGCACAGAGAACAGCCTTTCTTAAGTTTAGAATTTTCTCATTGCAAACGATATTATCCCTGAGGAAAATATCAAGGAAAGAATGGATTTAAACTGTGCATTTTTCATTATCTTAACCATCACTTAGCTGAAGACTTATCAGCAACCTAATATTTAACTCTCGGGCAGATGACTGCACGCTCATTTGACGACCGTCTGCTCCTCAGTTGGTTTTGTTTTCACCAATCGGTTTTGCGTCCTTTCCACCTCCTGCTTTCTGCCACTTTTTCTCTCCCATATTGCTGTTTCAGCTGATGCGTCGGCTGACATCATTGCCCTCTGCGGCTCACGACGATCACAACAACACTATAAACTTCCACGCCGCTGCTCACGCATGTCACGGCTCGGCAACGCTGGGTTTAAAGAACAAGCTGTGAGTGAGACGGTGAAAGCCTGCAGTTTGGGGAAGCGGAGATGTGCTGCATGTAAATGGCACTTTATGGCTTCATTCAGCTGCTCCTTCTTCTGTCAACTGGAAAATAATCTTTCTCTGCTTTCTCTCTGCTGCAGCTACTTGAGGTTATTTCGAAAAACCTTTTTGGAGATGCTTCTGAAGTTAAGATGCAGAAACAATCCCTGTGGATTTGACCTTCCCTGCACTTGCTATTTCACTTGTCATCATATTGTCCTCCACCAGGTGGCAGTGCAGCTTGTATTTTATCATGTCACAAGGTGCTTCGCCAAAACAAAGAAGAGAAAGGAAAATGAGAAGTTGTCACATATTTGTCGCTTTTTCTTCAGATGTTATTTATCCCTGACCAATCTGCTGTATTTTTTTGGTGTTTGTGATGCTTTTTGTTCATCAACGTATTAAAAAAAAGAAAAAGAAAAGAGGCCCAGATAGCGGCACACGTTTTCACATTTTTATTCCTAGAAAAACATTTTTTTTTAAAAAAGCTGTGTTATCACTTTTCCTACATCTCAAAACTACTACCCACTTTGAATTGACCTTTCAAACAAAAAAAGAAAGGACAGAATCTTCTAATTTTGATTGGTTAATTTTAAGCACATGTCTATGCTGCATTACTTTTGTCAGTTTCAGTGACAGCTGTTCATGTTTTGGTCATTAGAAAGAGAGGTGCCAACCATTTTTGCCATTCAAAAGTTTCCAACCAGTCACTTTCACAAGGCACTTGGTCAGGAAGCAATGCCTATTGACGCCGTCCAGTTCTCTGCAATGAAGTTGAGGACTTTATGTGACCCCCTGGTGGTTGGCCATGGTACAATTTGCCTTTATTGATTGATGATTATCCATCGAGTTGAATGAGATGCACAAGCTTTCATGATTTTTGTGAGTCTTTATTTCAGCAGCATTCAAATCGCCTCAGCCAGTGACAAAAGAGAACTATAATCGGTGATGAGAGGCAGAGGAGTGAGATGACCAAATAAAACAGGAACACAAGCTTCTTTTTTTTTTTAACTACCGCTTGTGTTTGATTTGTTTTATGGTGAACAGAGAACTCGCAGAACATCCACAGTACCCAGAGTGTTTAACCGCAACGGTTCAGAGGTACAGAGTCTGACTGACGCTTCAAACGGCAATAACAGGAAAGCTTTGATGCTGCATTCAGGTCCAGGGGGAAACCAGAGACAAACTCGAGACCAATGATAGTCTCCCAAGTTTGAGCATTTTGACTCTGTTCAAAATTAACGTTTCAACACGTCCGACTTTACAAGCCGAGGACCAAACATCTGCACATAATTTATCACGTGCCTCAGTTGAAGTAGGAGAATTTGCCTGTTTTAATTGATATTAATTTGAAATAAATGTTGAAAACTCATTTGTTAAAACGAGTTTTCAACGAATTTAATCTCTGACGAGAGTAAAATGACCAAATCACTAGTGATTCTACAAAGAAACTGATAAAAAAGTGGATATTTGTATCTTTATCTGTAAGCATAGAGCTTAAAGTAAAAGGAAACAAAAATGTTCGAGAGAGAAATCATTGTTACTGTGCGACATGAACGCAGCATTTATTTGACAACACACAAAATTAAATAATAGAGCAGGTTGGACAAGTCCAGTGTTGCCTCATGTTAAATAAAGTGCTTTCTTTTTTTTTTTTAAGATTATTTAATAAGACATAACAATGAATATTACAGTGAAGGAGACATTTATTTTTCCTAACAGTTTGTTGCATAAATAAGAGTTAATGTAGCTGGACAGCAAAAACACTGCAGCAGATATTATTGCACCAACAAAAAAATAAATAAAAATAAAGTGACACGAAATGGCTGGATGCTTTTCCTTCAAGTTATCCAATCTAAAGCATTCCCACGATGGGATTACAGCAGAAAACAAACAACAACAAAAAACATAACACAAACACACACAGTGCAGTGAATATGGATGCACATAACGCACATTAACATGTTGAACTTCCGTTAATAATTTACAGTGAAATATACAGACACGCGTTCACCTGCATGTGAGCTTATTCTGGAAACCCGCACAACACCGACACATCCGGAGAACTCGGTTAAGCAGAGAGCTCTGCTCTTGTTTCTTAGTTCCTCCCATTTGTTTAGAAAATGTGAAGATTAAAGATTTAATTTGACTCGTCCAGAGTGTGAAAACGGGACAAAGACGAACATTTCCAAGCTGTCAGAGGAAGCCATGTCCAGGTTTCACCAGTTTATCCATACTTGGGATGTTTATTGATCAGGAGCATTTTTAGTGAAACGTCACCAAAAGTCAACAAAACAAAAACAGATGTGATGTTTTGCTGTCAAGATGTCTGGGTTTTTGAACCGAGATGACGTCAAGGAACTTGTTTTAAGAAGATATCGGGGACAAGTATGGAGGACAAACGTCACAAAACGTTGGTGCTCAGAGATTTTTCCAAAAAAAAAAAAAAAAAAAACTCGAACCAGACAAAAAAATTTCACTTATTCAGCTTAATATAGAAATTCATCAGTCAATTTCCAACCACAAAGGATGAAGCAAAGAAAAAATAATGTTCAAACAATAAAGAATGATGACATTGAGGATAAACTAAGGAGAGTTTAAGAGTTTGGGACAAGATGGCTAACAATGAGAAACCAAATGTTTTTTCCTCAGAAGGAAAGTTAGGGTTGATTTAACTAAGTCGATTCACTGGAAAGGAAAAAGAGTTAATCAATTATTGGTTGGACGACTAAAGATTCAGGACTACAGTTTTTCCAAGGGTGGAATACTTTACGAATGTGTGCAAAACTTTGACCTCGTCAAGTTTGATTGTCTGAGTTCATGCTCACGCAAAACAGAAGCTGGAAGCGTTTGTAAAAACAGCAGAGCGTTGGTGGTGAGCAGCTCGGCCGTGTTGGGCTGGACACCGGCATGCTTCGAGGCCAGATCAACGGCAATTCCTCATGGTGAAGGAATCTGCTTAAAATGAAAAGACCTTCACATTTAATCTGGCTCTCGGTCGTCACGGCTTGTGTGAATATTCACCTGCCTAATCCAGTGTAAGCCTTCGCTAAGAAACTGTTAATCTGCTTGCCTTTTTTTTTTTATTACTCCAGAAATCCTGCCTGTGCTCTCTGAGCCTCAGATAAGAACTCATTAGCAGCAGCCGCATGTCCGAACCTTCCCCCGCTTTAACGACAAAGCGCACCAAGGTCAGAAGGGCGCAGGTGGAGCCTGAACACCCGGAAAGTTCAATAAAATGTAGAAACTTTGAACAGGAAACTCTTTGTTTTCTGTAGCTCTTTCAAGGGGGAAAAAAAAAAGAAAAAAAAAATTGAAATCAGACAAAACATTTTGGAAACAAAAAGCTGTGATCTGTTTCTCCAAACCAGTGGAAGATGAAATTTGGGGAAAAAAAAAACAACCTGCCCAACCACCGGCGGGTTTTAATGCGTGTGTGTGATGATTCATTTAACAGGGAACAACAAAAGAAACACGAGGACGCGCTGCGATTCCACACGGATGCTGCTGCAGATCTGCGCTGCCATGGCAACAGGCTTTAACTGCTACACCTGGGCAGAAGCTGCTGTTGCACGGCTGCACTAAAAAAACAGATAAATAAAATAAATCATGCAGCGGGCGAGGTGCGAGGGAGGGAGGAGGACTAGAGAGGCGGTCAGAGTCACGAGGCGGGTGAGCGCTCCGCCATAATCATCTGTGCTTAGCCTGGAAACAAAACGACCAGGAAAAGAAAAAAAAATGCACCTGGCATTTCATCTCGGTTTGACAAAATACGACAAAACGTGCCAGCTTTTTGTTTTGTTTAATGCTTCCTGTTCTGAAAACAGGCTCGTATGTCCAATAAAGGTGGTCTCGATGTTGATGCTGAAACTCAGAGACGCAGATTCAGTTGACTTAAACATTTATCCTCTCTACATTCAGCAGAAGCGTGCACAAAGTTTGACCCGATGAGATCCAAACTTTGGATTGCTCTTTATGCTGACTGGATTTTGTTTGAATTTTTAAATCACGCATTAAAAAATGAAAATATTTTTGGCTTCGTGACATCGGTCTTTGAAAACAGCTGCGCTACAGTCGGTACTAGATTTGCGCAGCTAAATCAACTCAAAGAGACTCTTTTCTCTTTCAGTTAAAGTCTATGTGCAACTGCAATATGTCTAAATGTAATTTTAATATAATTGATAAATGATGCTGAAATTAGGTATCCATGTTGAAGACTCTCACTTGCGCTTAAAAATCTAAAACGGAGCCAAATTATTTTGCATTTATTACTTTATTCTGCAGATGCAAGGGCTACTGTATTTGTTTATTTTTAAGAAATCTGGGCTGTGAAAACTGGAGGTATTAATGCTATTTTTTTGGCATCGGGATCAATTACTTCATTGATTTCAGATTCTTCAGAGGAAAGTTTATTCTTTATCAACTTTTACTGTATTCATGAAAGGAGGGAAGAAAGGAAGAGACTCTTAGAGAAAACATTAAAAACTCGGATTTCTCTGGTGAGCTGGATGTGTAAAAGGTGTGAGAAAAAAAAAGTCAGATTTAAGGAGTTTATGATCTCAGAGAGAATGACCTCTAATTAGTTTCATTTATTCCCACCGGCCAAAAACCCAGGAAGTTTTCTTTCTCTCATTAAAGCCTTAAGCTAAAGGATGGAATCAACCAGTCGTATATAATAAAAAGTCATCGCTTTTCTGAAAAAATTCACCAGCATCTGTGACTTAAAGCGAAGCCAGCTTGCATATTTCTGCGTCCGTTTCTTTTTGTGTGTGTGTTGCATATTTTATTCCAGAGCAGTTTCAAGTGAAAGCAGGCAGAGCTGACAGAGAGTCGCCGATACGGATGACACGGGATCTTACTGGTGGGTTTGAGGCATCGGCGGAGCGAAAATGTCACTGGGTTCAAACTTCCTGAAGGAATCCGGGCGAGTGCATAGCTCCTCGACTTAGCAAAATGTTAAGAACGGTTCCGGAAACGTGTCCCGGTTTCAGATCGGCACCGTGGAAACGTGACATTCCGGCTGAAAGCTCAAATGTCAGGATTCGTTTGAGGAGCAAAAAAAAGATAACTAAAAAGAGATGTTGAAACAAACGGCAGCTCCTCTGCTGAATGTTAACCATAAAGCAACTCCTGTAAGGATTTAGAGCCTTCAGTTCAGAGCTTGGATCAAACGTTGCTTGGAGAAGAATTGAGAGCAAACACTTTAATAGAAATGTCACGGCACGGCCATAGTGCGAGAGAGAAAAAGATTCCAAAGTGGCGTTCTAAAGCGAAAAGGAAAAAAACAATCTCCACACTGCAAAAAAACATTAAATATCATCAAGTATTTTTGTCCAGTTTCTAGTGCAAATATTTTAGCTCGACTAAAATAAGACCAAACCAACTTACTGGTCACTTCAGACAGATAGCAACTTGTTTTAAGTCAATACTTCCTTGATATTAATAAAAACATAAATAAAAATACTAGTTCTATTGGAAGATTTTTTTCACTCATTTTTAAGCTTTGAAGATCTGCAAATAGAAAAAGTATTTTTCCATCAATATTAAGTATAGATTTTAAAAGAAGCTCTTAAAAGTCACGTTTAAGATAATACACTTGAAATTAAACAGAGCTAAGAGATTTGCACCAGAAACTAGACAAAGCAAAAAAAAAAAAACTTGCTAAGATTTTGCGTTTTTGCAGTGCAGCTTAACCGGATAGTCTGGAAGAAGGTTTTTCTGGAAGCAACAGCTAGACAAATCCAAACTCTTCCTTTAGGAAGGAAGATTTCCCTGCGAGAAGCTGGGGATTTAACCAAGAAGAAGAAGTTTGAGGCTCAAAAGCTTCAGAAGAAAAAGTATTTCCTCATGTCAAGGTTGTCTGAAAGAAGAGATGATAGACGGCGGGCAGAAGGACGAAGCGTTCTGCCTCTTCTGTGGTTGTGGATAAACAATTGAATCACATATTAAAAAAATAGAGAGTGTGTGTTGCTGAAGGTGAACTTAAGATATTAGATAGGTTTTCAGATCAAGAACTCCAGTGTTCGATGGAATGCAAACAAGGCCAAGTTTCACGTCGGAGACTTCATTTAAATTAGCGCGAGCACTTTTCCTCTCACAGAGGCTGGGCGTAGTCAGTCTGAATCTCATCAGAGGACCAATAAAGATTAGAATGTAAGCAGCAGCAGCAGCAACATGTGAAACGTCTCAGGTTAGACTTTAAATGACGTTCGGTTCCAGCGATCCGCTGTGAGACGACGGCGTCTTCCAAATCAAAGGCACAAATCCATGGTTTTTATCCGTGACGTCTTCCGAGATCCGGGTGGCATCACTCTTCCTAATGAAGTGCTTTTTTTGTTTAATCTTAGCTCAGAATATCAACATTAAGGATTCAGGACCGGTACAGTCAGTCAGTCGACGCGTTTGATCGCCCGCTGCCTCAGTAGCTCTTTGGTTTGGGGAGACGCGACGATCCGGAGCCGAAGGCTTTTGCCTTCAGCCCGGGAGAGTTGACACGATCCAACAGCTGCCTTGACGGCCTCGCCTTCGGGGATGCCGGCGCGGAGACGTTGGCAGCGTGAGACAGGAAGAGGCGGAGCTTAGAAGGGTGCAGAGGCATCAGGGACCTGGAAGTGGTCCCTCTCTTTTCCGTCTCTTCTTCCTCCCTCCCCGGCTTCCTCTGTGGGTTTCCATCGACCGTCGCTCTTGTTGGGGATGTGCAGGTGGCAGCGATTGGTTCAATAGATGGGGGGAGAGCGTCAGGGAGCATTTCAGCGTGGGCGGGGTTACCTGAAGGCGGCGCTTGGTTTGTCAGTGGTTCCTGGTCTTCCTGATGGGAGGAGTAAAGTACCTGTGACTGAAAACAAATAACAAAACAAAAAAAAACTGATTTTAGGTCTTCATCAGCTAACCTCTCGACGAACATTAAAGGTCGGTTGTGGACTGGGTTCTGAACTAACACAAACCTCCAGCTCTGTAACATCATTTATAAGGTGTTGGAGCTGAGTAGAGACGGATGGAGCTGTTCTGTCAGATGGACAATCGTTTCACACATCCACACTTTGATCAGAGAGTCAAACCGCTTCGATTCAGCCGCGTGTTTGCTTTCATCTGTTTGTGTGTGTGTGGGTCTGTGTGTACGGCTTGATTACAACATTGCACCGTTATTTAAATTTACTTGTTGGGTTTTGCTTGCCTACTGTTGTAGTTGCTGATTACTTTTCCTCTCACAGCTCAGCTCTCTGTGGTTATTGAGTAGAAAAGCAAATGACTTAAGTGTTTCTTGTTCAGAGCTAGGGGACTTGTGTCAGGCTGTCACAAAAATCGTTTTCAAAAAATACTGTTTAAAACGGTCACTTTCATGCGTGATGTCATTTTTCGAAGAACTCAGAACTAAAAGAAGCTGTTTTTACCTGAAGTGTTTTTATCTAACAGAGCACAGCTTTAACTCATGATAGTAACAGAACGTTTTAAACTGGAGTGAACACTGCTGCGACTGAATTATCAAACTAATTTTACCTATTTTCTGTATGTTTGTGCGTTGTTTATGCATCTCATATTGCTGGTTAATAACAATACATATAATAGAAACGTGATGATATCAACAGATAGTTCGTCTGATAAAAGGCTCAACATACAGAATTCACTGAACTCTAATTCAGAGCCTCACAGCATTCTGGGAGATGTAGGCAGAGCAAAAACTTTATCTGCTCAACCTCTCACGCGAGCATCACTCTCTCTCTCTCGCTCTTTGGTTACCTAACAACTATTTGTTGAGTAACTTGCGCAGCAGCAGTTTCAGGTTTTTCCACATAACAGCTTAAAAAAATAATAATAGTAAAAAAAAAAACAGCACTAAGTGACTAAAAGAAGAAAGATTACACTATTAGCTTGGTAGTATTTTAGACATTTCAATCAAAAAGCTAATCAATAATTATAAATAGACTGATATAAAATTCTTATGTGGCGATAGGGTTTTCAGGCATATCGTCCAATCATAATATCTTCTTTCATTAGTGATGTGTTCCCTCTACTTTAGTCACTTTACTTTAAGAAATCCATTTTTACGTTCACACTGTAATGTAGTCATGATTGATTGCTGTCGGTGAATCCTCATGTTAAAACTGTTTATCTAAAAATTGGAAAATGAAGAAAAATCTGATTAAATTTCTAGCTTTCTATCCTTTAATCTACTCCTGATGTTTAAGTTTGTTCAAGGAATGTACATTTAGACAGACAGAATTATTCTAAGTACTTTTCTTTGTCCATACCTATCAATAATTTGGAAGAAGAAAGCTTAGATTTCAGACTTTCCCAAAGTTTATAGTGGAAAAGTAGAGAAAGCTGTGGTAATTTCAGTCTAAAGTAGTTATGAAGACATATTTTGTAGAAAGACAGTTTCGACATATGTTCTGAAAAAACAAACAACACCTGGATGATACCAACAGTTCAAGGCAAGAAACTAAACATTGACTGGTAAACACCGACATCTGGTGGCTAGTAAAGTTACTGCAGCCTGTTGGTATCTGCATTTTCGACTCCATAAAACATGCATGAGCAGCTGGAGTGAATAAAAAGGACAGAATGTAAACTCAAAATCATGACGAGATACCTTAACACTTAATGGTGGTGACAAATGAAGAGTACTCTATTTTCTCTCTTCTCTTTCTGCTGCCAAGCCTTTCCAACCCTTTGAGTGTTCTGATGAGATACTAACATAATGTGCTGATCCACGCAAACTGCCCTCTTATGAGCCCCCCTGAGGCTCATCAGGGCTATAATATCTCGCCACATCGCATCATCACTAAAATCAACAATTAGAATCGTGACAATAATGGGTAAACATGAGCTTGTCGAGCTGAGCTGCAGGCAACGAACAGCTGTCAAACTCCTCAATTACCCTGGAAATTATTAGGACTGTAATGGAGTTCTGCAGAATTATGGCTTGCACACAGATGAGGAGAAACGCAGGGCACTCACAAATGAAGTGAAAAATGCTGATTATTGGGCAATTACTGCATGTAATGCTCTAGGCTTCTTTGGTCAATTAAAATAAGAGAGCAATCGAGACAGACAAGAGTTTTACTGTAAATAAAATGCATGTTGGAAAGAAAAGGTGCTTATTTTACCTTACAAGGGTGAGAGATTCAATGACTTAAATCTCAGTTTAGGTCAGAGAAAAGACAGAAGCTCACAAACTCCATCTCAGACTCAACACACCTCAAAGCGTCTTCTTTCCAAAAGTGGGTATGACTGCACCACTTAGAATTGCCAAGTTATATCTGGATGAAACAATAATTCTGGAAGCTCTCATATTAAGTTGCAATGCTTCATAGGAGTAGAGCAGGAACTCATGTGTTTGCCATTCTAGAACCAAACATGAGGACATTCGTACGCTAACAAAAGAGTGGTCCCAAACACAGGAGAGCAGACCTGGAACTCACTGGAGTGTTTACATGTTCAGCCTAACTTGGGACCACTGACAAGACAAGCTGCCGAGCAGAGAAGCTCAAATCCAGGAACAGAGGGCCGGTCAATGCACCCTTACATATGCAAAGCGGAAAGATCCATAGTCTTGTTGTAATGAGACCATTTGTCCTGACTGTGTGAATTCTTCGCTCTCATACTTGGAGTGTAATTTTATTCATTGGTGCCTTTTTGGACTTTGACGGATGGAAAGGAAATGGGAACATCCTGACAGTTCGTTTTATCTTGACATGAACAAGACTAAAGTTTGTTCCATTGTTGAGAAACTTCCACTGGAAAAGTATTCATCCTCTTGAGGACCATCCTTCAAGATCGATCCCAAAAGAATGCATTCCTTCTCCTCAGTAGGAATGATGGGGCAACGGATTTGTTCAAATCATAAAATATAAAAACTTGTATTCAAATTCAAATGATAGCAGCTGGGTCATCTAAGAACAGATAGTGTTTGAGTGCCAGAGTTGGATTTGTTGAGAAGGTTTGGGGTTTCCGAACTGTTGCAATATTGCTTTACAGAGGTGGATAAGACCGCCTTAACCAGTTCCTATGTTTTTAATGCTTTGATTGGTGCAAGGGGTTGACATGATTGCCTTCTCAGAAACGCTTTGAAGCAAAAACTCAAAGCTTTCTGAGAAACAGCTGAAATGCCCACAATATTTAAGTTAATCTGCACAGGGGCTTGAGAGAACTTAAGGGTTTTGTCTGATGTGAAGCAATCATATGCAGAGAGGCAACCATGTGTTCTCTGCAGCTTTCAGTAAGTCAACCATAAGTCTTTTTAAGACCGTTTGAAATTTAAGTCATAAAAATCCATAAACATATTGGATGGTTGAGACATTGTGTATTACGACCAAGCATAGCAAAACCTGTGAACTCAGCTGTGATTCCATGATCCCAACAGCAGCCAGTTACTGGGAATTTCAACTGCAAAGCAATGAAGAAGTTTTTTTTTCTTGCAACTAAAAAAAATTACATTAAGTAGTCCCACCACTACAAACCGTATACAAGGCCAACTTATATTTTTCTAAGAAATTTAAGGCTTTAATTTCAGACACATAAATTTAAGACTTTTAAGTCACTGTCTAAGTCAGTGACTTTAACTTTCTTCGGTTATGATTTGCAGCACCAGTTCAGGTTACATAATCCTCACAGATAGCTTGCTTTGTGGGAATCACCATGGAGAAATGGAAGGGCGAAAACTGAAAATGAGGAGACAGAGAAAGTTTGACTGCAAGACAAAGGAAAGTTGCTACTGTACCACGCTTTGTCACTGAAGTAAAGCACAAGATTTTCCACTCCTGAGCGAAAGCATGGAGAAGAGACACAGAGAGGACAGGAGGAGGAAAAGTTAGAGGGAAAAAAAGCTCAAAATAGTCAGATTTCACTGCAGTTTGAAGCAAAAGGAAGATTTCCTTTGTTAAAGAGGTCAGGACCAACAATCCTCCAGAATTTCTGAAGGTCTTTCAGTTTCTTTACGCTTTCATTTTTCATTCACTCTCAGTCTAGGATCTGTCTATTTTCTTTGTTTGTTAAGTTTTCTATTTCTGAAGTATAATTCATTCAGGTACTTAATGAGCCGGAGTTGTGGTGACAAGGACAATTTGGTATAAATCAAATTTTCAGAGAAATTGTTTTGAGCCAAATGTCACTTAGGTCAAAACTGAATCCTACTTCACTTGTCAAATCTCTAAAACTTGTCAAAATTAACAGATTGAAAAAGAAGGGTCTTTGCTCTAACGAGAAGATTTCCAAAGAGGTGTTAGGTGAAAACCCAAACGTTGACCCATCTCTCTTGGGTCTTGACAAGATTTCCTTTACTTAGATGCAGCTGATTTCTGTCAAAACTGTTGCATTCATGACTAGTTTTTCAAAATTTTCTGTACATTTTGAAACATTAAAGGCTAATTAGTGAACGTCTGGTGAAGTAGTCTGACAGTTTCGTGACTCACTCTTTCTAGCGAGGTGAGAGGGAATGCTTGGCTTGGGCCTTCCCTTGATAGGCCTGGAGCGCTGATACTGCCAGGGTGGAGAGAGGAAAGGGACAGGAGGAAACGCCTGAGACAGAGACGGGGACAAAGAGAGACGGAGAAGATGCTCATACTCCTTTTGGAGAAAAATAACGACAGGATAGACGAGGGGCGGGGTGTGGGAAAGAAGACAGCCCTCTCAGAAAGTTTCCCCCATAAGTAAAACATGGTGTTTAAAGTCAATAAGTCAAACGAGGAGTAAAAAAAAGCTGCAGGTAATGAAAGTGAGAGTTCAGAGCGAGGAGAATAAAAGATGCTTTCTGCCTGCACAGTATGTTTAAAAAAAGAAAAAGAAATAAAATCAGAAATTTATGAATCCAACAGCAAGAAAATTTCTAATAAAAAAAAAGATTTCTGAAAGTATAAAGTCTTTCAAAGGAAGAAGAAAAACAAAGTTTTTAACCCACAGAAGAGACTTAAAGATGTTTCCTGTGTGAACCTTCAAACCTGATTAGTTCAGATTATTCCATTCGATTTTCTGGATTTTTCTGTCTTGGACTAACAACAAACATTATTATAGGTTCCTTTTTGTGGATCAGCCTCGATTTCATCCAGATCCAGTTCAAGTGTGTGTGTATGTGTGTGTTCTCACAGTGTGTTCTCTCCACGGTGTCTGCGACGACACACACTCGCTTTTTGTCAGACTTGTCTGCGTTTGCTGCTCCATCCTTTCAGACGACCCCTGACAGCGACACCTGGTGGTCAGTGTGGGAACAGTCTGCACACACATACAAACTTCAGTCATACACAAAAAGACGACTAAAATATTTAATATTTATTAATGTCTAAAGTTCTTTTTTTAGAGACTCTATCCCTTTTTTAAACTAACTTTAACCTAAACTTCTGAGCAAAACTGAGAAAACCGAAGCTGCAGCAGCATCAAACTCACCAGTTGCATGGTTAGTTGTGCAATGGTCCGGTCTCGGCTCCTCAGTTCCTCCCGGAGCTGCTGTACCTCCTGCAGGAGCGCCTCCACCTACAGACAGGCGGAATGTTGAGCCGAGGGTTTATGGGAAATATAACACAGAAAACTAACAGGGCTGAACTTGCTGACCTGCGAGTCTGAACTGTGAGACAAGTCATTTGTTTCTGGACTTAGAGTGTCTGTGGTCAGAGTGTCGTCGTCCAAATCCTCCTCCTAAAAAAAAAAAGTGGAAATAAACATTAAATGCATAAAACCATGGCTAAATGAGAAACAAGATTAGGCTTAATGTTGCCTTGATTCATTCAATATGTTTTAAATGTATTTATTTAATACATATGTAATATATAAACTCTCAAGGCTCCGAGAGCTAAAGGTGAAGTTTTTTTACCCATACTTGGAAAATAAACAATGGATGATCTGATGTTTGCTGCAGACTTCCAAACTTAACATCTCTTTAGACAAACTATTGGTGTTGAAGAGCATTCCCTCTCACCTGCAGCAACAACCTCTGCAGGAACTCCAGCTGTGACCGGACTGCAGAGCAGTCCTCAGCGAGTTCCTCCACATCCAGAACCAGAGTCTGAGGAGCCGGCGAGCAGCAGGCCGACCTGCAGAGTTTTAACCAACAGAAGCAGGCAGTGTACAGAAGCAGGCAGAAAATATAAAGTGAAACTGTGATTTTAAGAGGATGGAGGAAAGAAAAACTGGTAGAGCAGGTCACCCTACCTGATTTTATCCTCCTTTGTTTCAGGGTCCTGGGAGAGTTTGTAGCACTGGATGTCACTGTGGACCGACCATATGACAGATTCAGAGTTAAAGAAGAAAAAAAAAGTAAATTAATGAAAAAACATTTTTAAAAAAAGTTAAGATTCCCAGCACGAATTCAGTTTAAAAATCCGCCTTCATCGACTTCTTAACTCATCGTCAAGGTCTGCAGAAGCCTTAGACATCTGAAGTGGTGTTTATACAGCTCTGAAAGTGCTCCAAAGGTGGAAATTGGCCTCGAGTCTAACCAGTGGCGTCAATGTGCTGAAAGCTTAAGCAGCCTTCACATACTGAGAATATTTAAACATGAGCAGAGTTCACCTCATCAAGCTGTGCGCTGTAAGATTTTCCTCTTTCCCCCCCACAGAAAAAAATAGGTTAAATCTCCACATCTCCCAGAAAGTTCTGCTGGATGTACAAGGATGTGGTGCCCTGGGCTGGAGCCAATTATTTTACTAATGCAAATTACAGTATGTTAATAGGTAGCCCTTCACATCAGCAGATATGGACTGATGCATTGTAAGTTTACTACTTCCGTTTGCCAATAAATAGTAACATTCTTTACAAAGAACTGGTTTTGCCAGAATACACCATATAATACAACAGCCATGAGTTTTATACAAAATTAAATGATTGCAAAACATCCATTCACTTAAAAGAAAATAAAAAGCTTTTGCTGCCCCCAAAAACTGTAGCCCTGGGCTACTGCCCCTGTAAGCCCAGCTCTCACAATCAATTTCAGTCAAAGTGACATCATTTCATATGTGTGCAAAATAAATAATGTTATTGATATTCTGCTAATGTTAAAAAAACACCACAATTTAGCAATTGGTTCCATTTAATGATGGAATTAAAATCACACTTGAAGAAGTTTGTTCATGCGATAAGTCATTGTTCTCCTGTCATCCACTTCATCTTTTCCAGCATCACAACATCCAGGTGGTTGGTCACATGACTTGTATGATGCAAAGGTTTTCCACTGCTGTTTTGCAAATTTCATCCTAGCACAAAACCTTTTTATTGAAAAACATGATTTTTTTTCCCCAAATTGGACTTTATTCAATTAAGAAAATTCTCATAAAGGGATATTTTTTTATGAATGCATTACTACTGTAGCTCTATTATATGCTAGAAATTGTAAGATGGTTTGATTTAACTATAAACAGTCTTAGAGAAACCAGTTGTCTTCTCACCTCTCAATGTCGTTGTCCTGTGTTCCCCAACAGAGTTGTCTTCTTCTCCACTGAGCCATGCTGGACAGCCCCTCTCCATCTGCAAGGTTCAGTGTCTTAGGCTCATTTTTAGCAGATGCAAAACAGGAAGTAACGCCAAGCATCCTTACACATCCTCATGAGGATTCTCTTCCTCAGAGAGAACAGCAGCAAACATATTTCTTTATCTGACTCTACATTATCTACATAAACATACCGCTATGTAGCGAGGAGTCCTCTGGGAAATCTACGTCCAGCATGAGGTCATCGTCAGCCAGATCACAAGAGTCCAGGTTGTTTAAGAGATCCTGCGGAGAAATACATCTTTATGGAAATGTCTGGATAGAGTGAAAGCATTAAACGTCAAGTTATAGAATCGCATGTAGGAAAGAAAAACAAGAAAAAATATTGTTGGATATTATTTGAGTCCATTCCAGCTACTCCGTTTTCTCTTTTTCTCCCCCACACTCAACCAGAATTGGAAGAGAACAATCCCAAAGAGCAACACTGACCCCTGGTGGTCACGACAGACACTCCACTGCAAATGCAGGTGTAAATTCAAACAGAAGACTTCATATTTCAACTGAGAGCTCGTTAAAGTCCTCAGATCGTTAACGGCCGGCGCTCATTAGGATCAAGCCCTGAGCTCATTAACACAGAGGACACACTGAGACAGCAGGCTCATTAACAGCCTTTCAGCATCACTCACCTGGTCCACCGGCTGAACTGAACTGAAGGTCGCAGCCCGGACCCAAGCCTGCTCATCCTCCTTCAGCTTATCTGAAACCTCAGCGCTTCATTTATCGGATCCAAATGCTTATCTCACGGAAACCGCAAAAGCAGTAAAGAGTTGATGTCGGGTGAATAATTATGAAATTAGACGAAACGCAGAGCTGATTCATTTTCTCAGCTGTGACATTAATCTGTTCAAAATGCTTATTTGATCAGGGAAAAAGATGTAAGTTTGAGAAATGGTCCTCCAGAAATGTTATTGTATTTTACATGATTGTAACACTGCTTCTTATCTGAAGATTTTAAGACATTTAAAAAATATGTATACAGGTAAGAACTCAGCTCTGTATGCTGCAAAAGAATAAGAAAAAAACTGAATCCTGCTGGGTTGTACTTCACAGAAGGGACACCAGAGGGAGCCAGTGAACGTTGTTTAGACCTTTTCAAACAGTGCTACAAATTTTATTGATGCACTGTTTAAACCTCAATAAGTTATGGTTCTTATGTGAAATCTAAGGCAATAAAATCAGCCAGACATAAAATTTTTATATTTGACTTCTGGTCCTTACGATGCTGTTGATGTCCGAGTCGAAGCTCCCTATGTGGTGGGTGGTGTTGCTGTTGGTGTGGATGGAGGCGGTTGTGGTGGCGCCCCCAAGAGGCTCCAGACCTTCCTCGTCCCACATGTAGGTACCCCCAGAGCCACAGCTGTCAGAGGGGGACAGGTCCAGAGAGGAGCCGCCCTGCGGAAGGGAAAATCTCAGGATCAGTTTGTACTGACGACAGTTTAATATCAACTGAAGCACTTGAGGATTGTTTTAGAAACTCTCTTTATTCTTCTTTTGGAGTCTTCTCCAAGAGCAGATTATTTCTTTCTGCAAACACTCAATCACATTACATGAGGTCCGATCTTTGTCTTGTCAGTCTTTTAAAATTTGACAGAAATTTTGTTTTTTTCTTTTTGAGACTCATTTCTAAACCTTTGTGGCAAATTCTAATCTAGTGTTCCTGATTTTCTTGCTGTGGACAATTATACCCTCATTGTTTCCACCACAAGCCGTTTCTCCGGCTGGCATTATACTCTTGAGTTTGTTTTGGTTGTAGCTACTTAGAATGCCCAGCTCTATAGTTCGCTTCCTGCTTTTGAAGAGATCTCTTGTCCGCTTACACCCATATTTGCATTCGAACCGCGCCACACCTGGCTTCAACCGAACCGAGAAGCAAGGTTTTTAGACAGACCAGGGTTTGCTTTTTGGTCCGCATCAGAGTTTAATTGTGCATTCACACCTCTGCAAACGAACCGGACTTTCTAGACCAGTGTTTCCCAACCCTTGTCCTCAAAGCACGCTGTCCTACATTTTATAGAGGTTTCTCTGCTTTAATGCGCCTGATTCAACTGATTACAATTCAAGAAACTCCTGTTAATCAGTCATCAACTGAAATCAGCTGGATTGAAGCTGAATCACTACCCTAAAGTTTTCTGCCGTTGCCGTTACATTACATTAAGGACGCACAATATTCGCTCTCGCACTACGAGCTAACAGCTGTGTGGGACAACGCCACGTCCACAGGCAGCTCTGAGGCAAATAATTTCTACAGGTTAAGAAGTGAAACGTTTGCTGAAACAGGCTTTTGTGAAATTAAAACTATTCTTCCTGTGATTCCACATGCTGCTCCGCTCATGTTTGAAAAGAATTCAAAGCAGGAACCACATGAAGCGTTTTGGTCCAGATGTCCAATGGACTTGGTGGGATGGTTGAAAAGGCGCAGCTTGCTGATGGGAGTGTTTAAGAGTCCAAACAATGAACTGATGAGTTCACCTATCTTTGCTTTGGGTGGGGTCAAACTGCACCTGCAGCATCTACAGAGTGCAAAAAAAGCCATGTTTGTTTTGGATTCTTAATTCTGAGCTGTGCAGCATAAATACAGATACCTAGATGGAAATCTGGAGCAAGATGTTCAGTTATGTCACTGCACATTTTCAACTTCTTATGCTTTATTTCAGGAAAATGGCTTCAGTTGCTCGGGTTCAGCAAATTGATCATAAAAATCAATGAATCAATGATCTCTAACAGTATAGTTAATCTGGGTTTAAATGCCTTTGGAGTATTTTTCACCCATATATTTTAATCAAAACAAAATTGGAAACAGAAGTATTGTTTAAGGTTTTGTCTGCACCAGTTACAGATAATGTACCTGTTCATGATAGTCAGGCTGACTTGCCTTTCTCCGACGGGCAAGTTGGTTAAATCGGTGCTCGTCTTTATCACCTGGACACAAAAGCAACTTTTCTTTTAGTTGGAATAATTAAAGTATTTAGCTGACGTTAACAGCAACTTTTTTTAAAATTCACCTCTGATGGAGGTCCAGTCCAGACTATCGTCTAGGAAGCACAGTCCTGTTGTCTTGGCGACCTTGCTAACGGCGTCCTTGTCATCGTCCAGCCTGGTGCATGACTGGTCGAGTCCAGAGTCATCCTCTTCGTTTTTGGATGAAAGCAGTAAGATGCCAACCCCTCCGTTTCCTGAAAACAAAAAATATTAAAAAGGCAAAATGTAAAGGAGATCGGTCACACAGAGAGTCCAGTTCTGATTTTAAACACAGAGGATTTTTCATGTAATGTCACATTACTCATATTAACAAATCACCAATTGACACATTTTCTTTGTTATGTAGCTTCTATGCTATTGTTTACAACAAAACATTTAAAGAGGGTCTCACCGAGGTTGTCAAAGTCATCCATGTATTCCTGGCTGATGTCATTCCTGTCCAGGGAGGAAGTGGAGGACAGGGACATGTCCTCAAGCGTCTCACCAACAATCGATCCCATTCCCTGGGACGCAAGGTCGTCAGAAAGCTGCTCCATCTCTGCAGCGTCTGGAGTGTTTTCTGCAGACGGATCAGATACAGAGATGAAACCAGACCAGAATGAGATCAGAGTCTTCAAATCCCAAAATGACAATCATTTTAAGAAAAAATAAGAAAGATAAAACGAAGGGGAACCTGGGCTGTTTTCGGTAGATGAAGGCGTCTCCACAGAGTTCTTTCGTCTTGTTGGTCCTCTGTTTACTCCCTGTTCACTTCTGCACATGTCTGTTCCTTTTGCTCGTAGGGGTCTGGACTGCTTGACGAGCGACGGGCGGGATAGCTTGTAGCTGATGCCGCTGGACCTGGAGGTCGGACCCGGTAAGAGGGGCTTTCTTAGGGCTGTCTGGGGCAGCTGGGAGGGGGCACCGCCAGCCACCCTGCCTGAAGCGGCTCTGCTCACAGGCGATTTCAACAAGCTGCTTCTAGGAGGAGCCTGCGAGGTGGTGGCGGGGGGAACCCGTTGGGCGGCCCTGGTGGTGGAGAAGGGGCGAGACATGTGAGGAGAGGTGGCGGTCTGGGTGAGGGTGGGGGAGGCCTGCTGTCGGACCTGCGTGAGGCTCCGGGAGCGGAAGCGGTCGCTTTCAGTCAGCCGCGCGGAAGCGGCGCAGCCCAGGTTGTCGCTGGAATGGGAGCGGCTAGCTGTTGGCTTTTTTAGGAGCGGGGATCCCGATCGAGACGCAGGGCCCGAGCCGGGCTTCGAACCCGTCAGGCGAACAAAACTTTGAGGCGGCCTCAGAGAAGCGATCGCCTTCGTCCCTGCTTTGGATCCAGGACTTGTGTTCACACTCTGCTTGGACAGTACAGAAGAGTTCGGAGCCAGTTTGCAACCTCCTGATCCATTTTTAGAAATGGGAAGAGCTCTGGGGCTGGATTGTGGAGACGGGGATGATGATGACGAGGAATACTGTGTAAGCTGGCCACGCCCTTTCGCGGCGGTGGATGTGGTGTGTTTTCTGGCATCGTTCTGGTAGAAATACGGCTGGCAGTTGCTACGATTCTGGACAGCGTTCCCACCTTTCCCTCTCTTGCACTCAGCCTCTCCGTCCATTATCTCATCACCATCAGCTGCGTTTTCCTTCCTCCACTTCGCGGAAAATGAACACGGCACTCGGATGAATCCGTTCTGCTTTGCAGAGGACGGGGTCATGGATACACCCGCCGGTCCGGGATGGTGGTAGAATCCGTTGGTGAGGCGAGTTCTGCCAGCGGCGGTCGCAGCTGCGCCGGATGGAGCCGTCGCTGCAGGAGCCGTCTGGGACCGGGGCCGGGAGCTGAACTTCGGCAGCCTGGAAACCATGGTGGGCATGGTGGGCGGGTCAACAAGAGGTGGGGCTGACATCAGACTCCGCCCACTTCACCATGGAGAGTCAGGAGAGCTGAACAGGGAGCAGAGACGTGATAAGAGGCACAGACCGTGTACTTTCCAATGATAACTGTTATTATATATGCATATGTTGTTGTGGTTTCTCAGTTTTTTTTCTTTCTCCACCTTTAGAGGCAGACTTCTATCTCACTCTTTCCCTTTAAAACTATTCCCCATCTTTCTTCCTCTCTTTTCTTTTCATTTTTTTTTACATCCCCATGACCCTTACATTTGAAATGAACCCAAAGTAATTTCTAATAAAGTTTCCAGCCGTAATGTTCCGCTTGTGAAAGTAAAGCTGTTGTGTGTCACCTTGACATTCAGAAAGCATTTCTGAGTGCCACACTGCTGGACCGAAAACATAAAAAATAAAAAATAAACAAAAAAGTAAGCAAAGCCAACAGAAAGAACAAAATACAATTGGAAAAAATTTATTTTGATACATAATTTTTGCAATAAACCCCATTTTTAGTCTGCGAGTGAGAACAATGAATCATACAAAAATAATAATTCTCATAAAATGTCTGTAATAAAGAAATTAGAGTATTTGAACATGATGTTTCTGTCCACTTTACATATAGCAATTTCAGAAAAATTAGGAAAAATCTCAAATTTCCTTTGACAGCTGACAGATAAGGAATTGATCTTCTTCAATGGTTCTTATTCTCAGCAACAACAGCCACGTCAAAGTACACTCCAGTCTAGCTTTAATCCTGTTTAATGCGGGAGTCGGAAATTTTACTGCTGACTTTAGAGTCAGCAGCCCTGAGAGAACGGAAAAATTCAAAGGGTCCTGTCAGTGATTAACACCTGAAACATGTGGCAGCCGAGTCCATGCTTGCGTGTGTTAACGTGGCTTCAAGCGAGATAATACCTTTAAGTGCCACACCCACAATAAAAATGCTGAGGAATTGCTGCTCCTGCAAATGGAAGGCAGAACACTAATAACACATGAATGTTTCTGACACACCTACAGCACCCTTACAGTGAGTTTCTCTCTCCCCCTCTTTCTATTTTTTTATAATTTTTTTCTCCGAAGAGTTTATGCAAGAGTTTATGCAGTGCTCGTAGGCAGTAGGCAGACAGGAAAGAGGGCGAGGAGAAGGGGGAAGACATGCGGCAAAGGTCGTCGGGACCCGGAGTCGAACTCGCGACGACCACGTCGAGGACTGAGGCCTCCAAACGTGGGGCGTGCAAACCCCCTGCACCACTACGCCCCCTCTTTCATGCACACACAGACACACCGCCCAAGGCAAGAAATGTAAAAACAGTTCCTGAGACAAACTCACAAAAAAGATCAGCGATTAAATAACCAGGAAAATGACAGCTGTCTGGTTTATAATGTTAAATGACAATTAACAATATGACAATAATAATGCAAGTAACAAACTGTGATGCCATTTTTTCCCCTGATTATTTTAGAGGAAGAATGGTACATACTGTATATTTCAAAAAGCATGTATGTACCAAATAAAACAAAAATGTGAAGTGAAAATGCTCTTATTTCTCAAATGTTTCCTTCAAATATCTTAGAAGGTATGCAATTATATTTCCTGACAGTTACTGCTCATTTCTATTGATAACAGAGCTGCTTTAAAGAGTACAGCCACAAATAAAGTGGAGGTTTAAACGTTAAACTGATCATCACATCTGCAGGGTTAGTCCCAAACTAAAACGGGAAAGTTATTTTGGGTGTCAACATGCAAATTGCTCAGAAAGAAAAAGGTCTGTCTTCTTTGTTTATATATAGACTGTATGGCGTCTACCTTATAAACACTGCAAACTGCAAACATTGACTAGTGTGTGTCTTCCTACATACAACATTTAATTTATTTTAAATTGCATTTTACATCTTTTTTCATACCCTATGGGGCTGTGCAAGCCACCAATATTCAATCCACGTTATCAGTTATACACCACAGTTATGTCTGTGATTTGCTCGTTTCTGTTAATTTTGGAGACAGGAAATTTAGCTGTATTTTATATCTGTGACATAAACCTTTTTTCTGTCCATCTGCAGAAGGCTTCATTCAGCTGGCTAACATTTATGACCAACCGGCTTGAGCGACGGACAAAATTTGGTGGACTCCATCTCCCATTTATTTGCACATATACAAAACAGACAATTAGCAGGAAACTAACACTGAAAGCAGCTCGTTAAAAAAGCAGTGGCTGAGGTCTGTAACACCAGGAGTTTATTGGCTTCGGCTCAAAGCTGCTTTTATGGACAATAAAGAAGAAATAAAAGTCTAAGATGGCGTCACAGGCCTGTTTCATCCTCCTTTCATCACATTCGCTTAGACAAATCCCAGTCACATCCAGTGACAACACAGCATTAAAGTTGGATAACCCTTTTGAAAAGGATCGTCACTTCTTCTGCATAAAGAGACTTTCCTCATATTTGACATTTTACAAGAACTAATTTTGCTGGACAATAAATTACTGTGACAGACAACAACATGGTAGTTTTGAGACCATTTTAAATATTGATAATGCCTTTATAATCCAAGACTAGTCAACTTTGATTTTGTAAAGAACACTTAAAATTAAAACTGGAAGATATTTTAAATATTCAAAATAAAACACGACAACCAAAATCATAAAATGAAAAGGAAATAAAAACCACTTGCAACTGAAAACATAAAACAAACTGGATCATGAGATCTTTATGCATAACTCTGCCCTTAAAAAATATATTTTTTATATCACAAGAGAAATGATAGTACTCGTTTCATTCTGTTATGCGATTAGTTGCTTCATTGTGATAATTAAGCAACTAATTGTCGCGATTAAGCAATTGTGACAGATTTAATGCTGTTTTGCTGGTATATTCGCTCATGACTTCATTCAATTTGGATTAGAAACAAGCAAACATGAAAAGTTGTCCTTGTGTTTTTGATATATTCTTCAGTTCCACACACCAGGACCGATAATTCCTCTATAATTTAGCCAGGAATTTCTCTCTGAAGCATTAAAAAAAAAAAAAAAAAAAAAAGGTCAAATATGCCACGCAGGAACACTTTTTGTTCTTGATCCGACTCCAAAAGTCGTCATGGATACAGCACAACATCACCCTGCCGCCCTGCAGCCTCAGCACATGGCGTCTTCATTTAAACTAGAACATAAAACAGCAATTATAACTAGAAGCCTCCGCAGCTTTTTCCTCACCCGGAGCCACCAGGCTACGCATCACAAGCTTCTTCGTACCCGAAAGGAAACAGCTGAGGAGCTTGTGATTTTATTGTGAGACGATGACTTGGTTTTTTTATTTCTTTTTTTCTTTTCCAACCCTCTGAAGGTCATGATGTAAGGTTACACAAACAGTCCAGAATAAAGGCAGAGGCTCCTCCATGTGTCAGATAACAGACTCTGATGATCATTAGGCGATGAGCAGCATCAGCCCTCGACCGCTTCCATCCTGCAGTGAAAAAAAGAGGAAGCTGAGCTGCAGTAATCGGCTGACTCATGACTTCCCTGCTGCTGCGTCACCATCACACGGAGGCAATGCTTCAAGACTCACCAAAACCGCCACAGAGACACAATCGGCAGCAGAAACAACAAACATGGAGTCCAAAACTGCTGCTTTTCAATATTTCACTTCCATCACAAACTGAAAAAACGTTAGAGAATAGCATGGTTGAAAGCAACTGAGCTTCTTTTCCAAGCTGGTTCTGATACTAATGATTCCCTCCAGAACATTAAGCTGCAGCAAGTTCCTTCGCTTCAAACATGCATTCAGTTACAAATGTTAAAAGTTCTCTTTCGGCAGTATGCTTCAAAATGTTTTGGGTTTCGTTCCACAAGCTTTTCAGTGGTTTGCTGGAATTCAGGCCCATTTCTCCTGACAGAACCGGTATGATAAAGACAGATCTGTTGGACGCCTCGCTTGCCTTTTGTTCGATCTCCCTTTTTAATTCAGATATTTTACAGGCATTTTGTGCTATGTTGTTTTACATGTAAAGTGTTTTGGGCCTTTTGATGTCAGAACAATGCCTATATAGAGACAAGGCACTGGTTTAAGTTGTAGCTGGTTATGTCTGAAAGACAGTTCAATGTTTCCAGCACTGGAGGAAAAGAATGTGTGTCTTTGGGGTGTGTGTGTGTGATGAGGTGCACTGCAGCAGACTCTACTGTGAAGGACACACAGGAGGAATGGAGAGAAGAATGAGGTCATGACTCAGTGATAATGAGATGCTGCATCTGTCTCCTTTCTCTGCATGCCTCTGTGGTTCCTCTGCGCTTATTAATCATCATTCTTTTTTTTTTTTTTTTTTTTTTTGTGTGTGTGTGGGTGTGTGTGTCTGTGTGTGAATCTCTTGAGGCTAAGCAGCAGTTTTAGAGAGACTTTCTGGATAAGCCTACCTTACTATTTTGATTCAAATTTTTATTCTTTTAAAGCATCGTTAATTTTTTTTTTTTTAAACGCATCAGCAATCTGTTTTGCTCATCATCTGACATCGTCCCTGCATAAATCATGATGGTTACAGATAGGGCAGTGGTTTCATCAGATCATGATGAAGTTGTTATTTGATTATTGTTTTGTGTAATTTCACATCTACAAATAGTTTCTCCTGTCTTCCTGTGACCTGTGCAAAGCCCACTCACGCCTGCAAACAGGAGAACACATATGCAGCACCACAGGGCTTAAAAGGCATTGTCGACTCTAACACGGGAGTTTATATGACTTTATTGAGTCACGCATAAAGTCTGATTTCAAAGTGGAGACAAAGATCACCTATGATGAAAAGTTTTTTTTATAGCTTCCATTCAGCGCTGGTTTCCCAACTGTGGATAAAAATAGCAATAAAATCACAGCTACTCAAACTCTGCTACAACAAAGCAACTCAGAGGGGATTAAAGCATTGTTAGACGTATGCCAAGAAAACAACTGGTGACACAAGCAGCAGATTTCAGATTTTCCCAGTTAAACTGACAACACTCTGAGGACACCGTTACTGGATGGTGATTCAAGTTTAGCTGTTTTGAGTGTCAGAGAGGCGTTTGAAAAAAAAG